GTGTGTGTGTGTGTGTGTGTGTGTGTGTGTGTGTGTGTGTTTTCTTATAGGTTCAGAGCAAATTGAGTAAGACCATGTAAAATTTGGCTAGGTGGAAAGATCAGGCATTGCATTTGCCCAAATTTGTTAATTTTTCCAACACAGTTGTTTATTAGGAAGATAAATGAATTAATGTTTAACATTTCTATGTTTAGTATAACATCTTGGTGACCATTTCTAGTATTTATCAGATGAAATAATCACATTTCAGAGTTTGGGGTTTTTAAAAATTAGCATTACTGAAACATTTTCTGAATTTTGAAGGTAGATATACATTTACATATGTCCAATATTTCCTTGAGAAGGAAAGGAACGCTAATTGACCCACTTGAAATTTGAACTCTTCCTCTGATCTCTCCAGTGAAGGACTTTTACAAAATGCTGCCCTTTACAAATACTTGTCCAGCATGACATTAACCCTGTTATCACCATCATCATCACAACCATCTCTTCTTAACATTAATACAGAATTTGACATTTTAAAAAGCATTTTTGTATTCATTCTTCAATGTGATCTAACTCTTTAGCAGTAGATAGATAGTGTATCCTTCTTAAGGTGGGTCTGAACTCAGAGAAGAAAATAGTGGCTAACACATAGATTACACTATGCATCTTTACGTACATTAATTCATTTAATTACAAAAAAAAAACCCTCATGAGTTAGATGCAATTGGTGTTCCCATGTTATAGATAAGGAGAGAAAGGTACAGAGAGGTTAAAACATTGGTTCAAGGGGCACCTGATTGGCTCAGTCAGTTGAGCATCCAACTGTTTATTTCAGTTCAGGTCATGATGTGAAGGTTCATGAGCCTGGAGCCTGCTTGGGATTCTCTCTCTCCCTCCCTCTCTCTGCCCCTCCCCCGCACACATGCACGCTCTCTCTCTCAAAATAAATAAATAAATATTTTGAAAAAAGATGCCAGTTCAAAATCACAGTAAGTGACAGAGGCAATTCGGCCCTAGAATCCATTCTGTGTCCTACAGCACTGTATTATCTGTCCTGCAATCTGCTGACAAGTGACTTGTCACATTGAATAAGTGGCGATAACACCAAAATTTAATACATGGTCCATTGCAGCATTTTTTTTTTTTAATTTTTTTTTTCAACGTTTATTTATTTTTGGGACAGAGAGAGACAGAGCATGAACGGGGGAGGAGCAGAGAGAGAGGGAGACACAGAATCGGAAACAGGCTCCAGGCTCTGAGCCATCAGCCCAGAGCCTGATGCGGGGCTCGAACTCACGGACCGCGAGATCGTGACCTGGCTGAAGTCGGACGCTTAACCGACTGCGCCACCCAGGCGCCCCCATTGCAGCATATTGACTCATGATAACGGCAGAACTTTCTTTCAGAAAATAGAAATGTATTTATGGATGCTTTCTTATGGTTTGCTCAAAGTTAATGTTTATGCAGCATGAACTGGAGCTCTCTGGCAATGTTCCAATAGCCCAGTATAAGGAAAGGAAGTCTTAGTATTGCTTATAGATTCTAACAATGATTTACTTTGCATTACAATTCTCCTAATATTCACACTCTATAATGACATATTCTTCCTTGGATTTCAAAAGATCAATGAATGTTCTCAAGCTCTACCCCTGATTCTTCCTATAATCCTAAAGAACACTCTAGCCGCAGATATTGCTATCTTCTCTGTATTCCTTCAAAGGGAAGAAATTAGACCTGCCTTATTTAGCATTATAACTCTGTGTTTTTCAGTATCGGTCATAGTGTTGCCAACTGATGGGTGTTTATTTTTAAAATGTATAAATAACTGCTTTTGGACCTTATGTGACTTTGACAAGTTACAGCATAAGTCATGGTTTTGAAACAGTGACAAAAGTGGATTCCTGAGAAAGGGGTCAAGTCTGGGGAAGTTTAGAGCTTCCTGGAGAGAAGCAAGTCATTTGTAGTAATGCAGCTGGTAAATCAATAGGACAACCTGCTGCTTTTGTGGGTTGAACCACTTGCTTGAACAAAATATAGAGAAGAAGCATCTCACTTCTTGACAGCTTCTCTCTGGCTGAGCCATGGGGCATGGAGCTTGTACAAAAACTCACAGTGAGAAGGTTGGACCAAGAATCCTCTGCCATTCCACAGACAGCCTAACAATGAATTATGCAATTAATCCTTTTGAGAAAAATCTCTCATTTGGTATTAAAAAACATTTTTTAAAGTGTTGTACAAATCAGATCTAGTAATCTGCACAATATTAGGAATTCCTCTGAACAAGGAGCATTCTATGCATGGTACTACTTTGTGGCAATTACCGTGACAAGCAGTGGGACAGAGAAATGAATGTAAAGGGCCTCTGCTCTCAGGAAGTTCAAAATAGGATGAAAGAGTTATGGGTAAATCTTCTCAATAGCAATATATATGAAAATAGTGCCCAAACTAGTTCTAGGCAATTTTATACCAGTAGGATTAGACTATTTAAATGTTACCAACATTCCAAATTCAGTAGATTCTGGATTAATTGTACATTTAAAACAAGATTTTTTATTGAAGGCTTTGAAAATATTTACAGTGATTCTGTAGAAAATATGCTACCTCTTTTTGAAAATAGTATATTCATCTTCCTTCCAGAAGCTCAGAGAACTTTACAACTCGTATGTCAATAATGCAACATGCCAATACTCCAATAAAATGAATTGGTAGCAGATGCTTCTGTTCTCATTTTCAGAGAGTCTGAGTATATAACTAAATTGGTCCTCTTATTAATAACAGAATGACTAGAAACATCTGAAATTTAATCCATTGCTCAACCGATAATATCTATGTTGGTCTGTTGATTAACCTGAGGTGATGGTGGCTATGGGAACAAGGAGCTAAAACCCTGTTTTAGCCTTCCTACTTTCCTCCTGCTCTTTCATAGTATATTGTTCACAGTGTGGTACTTCAAAATGTATGAGGCTACTCACAAGGTCCATTTCCTACTAGGTTCTGGATGTTCTGGGGTTTCTTAGGGAGTCTCCAATTATCATGTTCTCAATTAAGTTGGAGATCTAAGTGTATATCTTGCAGGTCAAAGGTGTAAATACTTTGAATGGAATTACTGACAGGGAACAGTTTATTATCTCTTATTATCTGCTAATAATATCTGAAAATCTATTATCTGCTGATAATATTTTTATTATATAACTCCTTACCTTTTGTTGTCGTTTTGTTATACTAACAGGTGAATTTGGAGAGGTGTGCAGCGGTCGCTTAAAACTCCCTTCAAAAAAAGAAATTTCAGTGGCCATCAAGACCCTGAAAGTGGGCTACACAGAAAAGCAGAGGAGAGACTTCCTGGGAGAAGCAAGCATTATGGGACAATTTGACCATCCCAACATCATTCGATTAGAGGGAGTTGTTACTAAAAGTAAGTCAAGCCAAAAGATTGACTTTTGCCTATGTTGAGCAGAGGTTATTTAAACCCTATATCAATCATTTCAGAATTTTGACATTTTTTTCATAGCTATGTCAGTCCTCACAGAGACTATTTGGGGTTGCCATGTCTTTCTTCGACAAGAAAGCAAAGGCCTTTAGTATTATATTGAAAGTACTACTCTACATCCTTAAAAATTGAAAAAAAAAATTAAGAGCTAAAAAGAAAGGACCACATTAAGACACATTGATGAAAAGGCAGTTGAGTGAATTGTGGAGAAGTCTCTGTTACGTGGACTAACAAGGCAAAACGATGACTCAGTTTTGACAGGAATTGCGGAACTCCCAGCTAGCTGCTTTTTCTTTTACTGTTCACCAGTTTTAGTTAAACTTCCAAATCTTTACCCCCCTGGCTTTAGGGAAATTATGGGGGTTTGGGGAATACTTCTGAGCTGTAAAGAGTGGGATCACATTAGACCCAGGGCCTTTTCCTGGTTCTCTGTGGATTTCAAATAATTCTAATCTAGAGTCCCAGATGGATTTTTGACTGGTCTGGGGAAACTCTGGCTCACAGCCCATGATAGAGATCTGAACTTATTTCCATGATAGTTTCTCCAGCCAGACTCAAAAGGAATCCCGTGAGGCAGATATGTGATTTTTGGCTCCAATACCAATGAAAACCTCTTGAGAATGCTCTAGGATTTTTTTTTTCCTCGAGATTTTGGAGCACAGGATGAAGAATAAGCTAAATTGGCAGCAAACTACTTAGAGCGAAAGACAACATATGGCAGGAAATTTGGCATCCTTTAGGGGATAATTCATTGGCACCACATTTACATATTCTATGGTTACCAACAGACATTACACATTAAATTTTTCACAATGATATTTTTCTTTAACATTACATGGAGCACTTTCCAAATGGGACTAATACCTATTCTCATCTTAGTGTGACTAAAAAGGCAGTTCCTTTCTCACAAGAGCATGGCATAATTGAAATGTACTTTGGTTTCCTTTAGAGTTTGTAATATAATAAATGGGATTAAGAACTGAGCAATGTAAAATTTAACCATAAACTGGAAGCCCACATTAAGTGTTGTAAGAAGCATTTTTTCCCTTCATGCTCCTAAAAATTAGGCCATACTAGTAATAACACTGAAATATTTTCTGATGAAGACCTTGTTTTAATTTTTTTTTAAGTAATGATAAAAACACAGTAGTAGTAAGGATTGGGATCCTTTGTTCCTCCAGGGCCAGACCATACAACTTAATGTTTTAATAGTCAATTAGCCATTTAGTCTCCTTTATAGCATCCTCACCGACTGGTTGTCCAGATCTTGAGCCCCACTAAGGAGGAAATGCATTTGTACTTATGTAACCATTTTTCTTTTAACCCAGTTTTCATAAGGTTTTCTTTATGCATTCACTGTTATGTGCCCGAAAGTGTACTATGGACATCATTTCATTCTTACTACTCCCCTGTGAGTTAGATACAATAATTCCATTTTACATTTGAACAAACAGTAACTACAAAGAGCAAGTCGCTTGTCTAATTAGAAAGTGCTAGAGATGGCATTGGGAACTTGGTCTGTTGGTTTCACCTCTGTCCCCAACCGTGAACAAAAATGGGTTTCTAATTTTCATCTTGTCTTCTACTTATTCTTTTATATCTTGATTTTTTTTTAATTTTCCCTAATAATTTGATCATACCAAAGACTCCCTCAAGCTTCAACATTTTTCTGGAGACCATTAATAACCCTTAACATCTAAAACAAAATGTAAACACTCATAAAGGACAAGAATCCACATTACTTATAATCAGTGACTAAAATAGAACCTGGATCATGCTGGATACTTAATTTACCAATGTCAAGGAATAAAGACACTGATTGATTGATTGATTGATTGACTGAATGAGGAACAGAGCAACATCTTCCTATAGGTCTTTCTTCAGTGTTTGTTCTTTAAATTGAATGCATGAAGTGCAGTTGTGTAATTGCATGTATCGCTCAGAGTGATGGAAAAAAATCGTTATATTTTAGCATGGGCAGAATTATCACCTAACTTCAACACCTACACCTAAGAAAAAAATGAGATAAAAATGACAAACTAAATATTAGGTTTAAATTTACATTCATTGATAGGGTCTTATATTTTATCAAATGTAAATTGATTTTTTGATTTCCAGTGTTATGTATTATTGAAACTAATTTGTTACATTTGACTAGATGTTACCTATAAATTCATTTACTGAATGATGAGCAATATTAAACCATAATTATTATGGCAGGATTTCTTGAAATATAAAAATGAAATAATCAAATATGAACTATGGTCAGTTCACAAAGAGAATCATAAAACAATCCCCAAGACCAAAATGCAAAAAAAAAAAAGTTGCATTGAGGAAAAAAAGACTTTAAAAACCACAGGTATTATCCATTAAATACCTTATTCAAGTCTGATTCTGTAACATTCTAATATGGATTACAACTGCCTATTCTTAGGGTGAAAGTTCTAAATTTGATATATCTCCCTGGTCATATAAGCATGTAAGAGGGTGCCAAATCTGACTATACAGATCCCAGTCATCTCATATAGTGTGAACATAATAGGGTAGCAGACCTAGAATTAGATTTTGAACTCTTTTAGTGGCATATTTAAAACCTCTAAGTCTGGTACCCTATAACATCGGAGAGGAAACAGCAGTCCTTAGAATAAAGTTAATATGTTGCATTTAACATATAAATAAGGCAATTTTATCACCAGAAGTTATTCATCCACTCCTGTTATTTTCTTTGTTCCCTGAGAATATATGACTATTAAAACAATCCAATTGCAAAGTTTAGAAACATACACACACACACACACACACACACACACACACACACACACACACCCCAAGAGTGATGTAGAGCTTATAATTTAATAAACAAACCTGTGTTTTAAGGAAGAAAAAACAATTATATTGGTATCTGGATTAAGAGTCAGAGGATCAGCGGCACCTGGGTATCTCAGTTGGTTGAGCATCTGACTCTTGGTTTTGGGCCTGACCTGAGCTGAAACCAAGAGTCAGATACTCAACCAACAGTCTGTGCTGACAGCATGGACCCTGCTTGGGATTCTTTCTCTCCCCCTCCCCTGACTGTGTGTGTGCTCTCTAAACAAACAAACAAACAAACTTTAAAAAAAAAATCAGAGGTTCAGAGTTTAAGTTTTGACTCAACCCAACTGGTTGTGAGACCGTTGGCGAATCAAACCAGTCACAGGGACTCATTTTCTTCACCTGTAATTTGGAAGAGCAGTTCTACTTCACTATTTCCAGATACTTTAAAGATCAAATAAGATTATGTAGGAATACATTGTTAAGTGAAATAGAGCCATGAAAATCTAAATTACCACTTCTGGTAAGCTTGAGATTTTATCAGTTAATCTTGGCTGTGTAGAAAAAAAAAATTCTTGAAACAATTCCCTTTTTTGCTCAATGATAATTTTTTAAACTACTGCTATTAATTATATGCTTGAAACACTAGGTCTGTTATAATGTATCATTTTCAAGTCTTTTAGAGAAAGCCCTTTATTCAATCATTATATTTTCATTTATTTGAATTGAGCCATAAACAATTTTAATGATACGTTTTGAGCCTGATGGTATTAAACAAGAGAAGGTGAGAGAGTCTCTGATCTTCAAAGTAGCAGAAAGCTGGGGGCACAGTCTCTGCTCAGAACTTGGTACTAACATGTGTTATCAATTTTAGCTGGAGTTCAAAAGATGGAACTTGTTTTTAGCAAATGTTTGATATTTCTGCCATCACACCATTAGTCAAATGATGTTGATACTCCAAGAAGACCTCCATTGGCCACTATTCATCCAGTGAAATAAAAGGAATTATACTAGATAAGGTTGATGTGTTTTTGTATTTGGAGAGGGATTATTTTCTGAAAATTAAAAAAAAATAATAATGCAATTTAACTATAACTTTGCATCATTAAGGAATACAGTGAGCAGAACATTAGGACAATTTCTCATAATTAAAACATTTCTATGCTGGTATGAGCATCCACCTTCCACCAAAAGCTTAGTCATTTGTTTGTTCTTTTCTATCTCCTGCATATATGATAAAAAAAAAAATATCGCTGAAATAAGACATCATTCTGTGGTGACGATGCCAAATTCTTGCTTTGTCCTGTTTGCTTCTCTCTAAGGGTTTTCTTCTGTACTTACCTTAAGGGTACTAACTCCCTATAGTATTTAATATAGTCCATATATGTGTTATATTTATTTTATTAATAATTTGTAGAAGTAGTTTGTTAAAACAAACTCTGGTAACCCAAGTTCTCATGCGTTCATGACTAATCTGAGAAAGGAGTTGGGAGCCTCTCTGTCTTAGTGTCCACAACAACAAAATTAGGAAAATCTTTCCTGAATATATTGGAGAAAAACATAAGACAGGGAATGCTATTTTTGCATGCTTAAGAACTTTCTTTATTTTTCCAACATTGCCCATTTATATCTTTTGGTTATATTGGCCACATTTGAATTACAAAAAAATATGTTGTTGTCTATTTTCCCCATTTAAATAGTATGAACTTATGATATTTTTGAAAGGTTAAATGCAACTTAACAACATTTGTTAGAGCATGACACGTGTTCCCAAAGACTGACTTTTAAAGAGCACTAGTTTAAATATACAATAACTCTCCTAAAGAAGAGCTATAATTATATACTTACTTAATAAGTGTCTGAGTAATTCTAGTCATACACAAATTCTTGCAGAAAGTGAGAAAAAAAACCACCCCTATTTCATGAGGTTAATGATATCTTGATACCAAAGCATACAATAATATTTTCAGAGAGGAAAACAACTGTAATTCATGAACAAAAACTCAGTAACACTCGAGTAATTGTAAAGCCATAGCTAACAATGTATCATAAAAGATACTATATAATTCTCAAGTTTAGTTTATTCCAAGAAGGCAAAGTTGGTTTACTATTTA